GCTGTGGCTCAGGTGGTAGAGCGGGTCGTCTAGGGTCACTGGTTCGATTCCCATTACCCAAATCGTAGCTTTAGATGGGAAGATCTGCATCGCTCCTGATGAGCAGTTGGTATCTTGTAAGGCAGCCTTTGCCATCAGTGTTTGAATGGGTGAACGAGACAAGTGTTGTAAAGCGCTTTGAGTTGTCAGTAGACCAGAAAAGCGCTGTATAAAAACAAACCATTTATTTAATGGTTGTGTAGATTTATGGACTAATATACTGATGTTCTCTACGCCAGCTGATTGTGGGCTTGTAACATATAACTGCTCACCCTGGATTAAAACAAACTTTGTGTTGGTTCATTCGTTCTCTTGGTATCAAACGTTTACGTGAGCAAGTCAAACATTTGACAGTTTTTAAATGTACCAAAAAGTCAAAGTCCATCCTCCAAAGAATAAAATGTCCCTGGTAAGTTAATGTTGAAACACTGGCTCACATTCTTCAAATATTCTCAGTGCCTTAACTGTGAATCCAAATGCAGCATCAGCCTTTATGCGGTGCACAAAGATGGCTTTCAGTGTTTACCTGTACTCTTGCTCGAACAACATCCATGGGGTTGGTGATGGTGGAGGCGGTTGCTGCTGCCATTGGTCCTGCCAAAGCCTGCAGAATCAGATGGGGGCACCCGCTTGGCGCCATCAAGGACAGTTGCTCTGTGAACGCAAAGGATATAAAAACAGTGTAAGGCCAATATATTTCACTTAAGAGCACTGCCAATTAAAGTGCTGAACAACATTTCAGTCAGTCTCACGTGCATGTACCAGACTTACCTGCGTAAAAATGATAAAAAGGCCACCAGAGTGCACTGTTTGGGATGTACGTGAGTAGCGATGCCACGTAGCCCCTGTAAAATCCTCTGAAGCCATCGGCAGCAAATATCTGCACCGTAATGTCACGGGTTTGCCCGAAAGTCAGTCTGCGTTTGCTTGCTGCGAGCATCATTTTGGGTTTGGGCTTGAAGCGAGTCAGGTGTTCCCCCTGTCCTTGCATCATAAGTTGCTGAGACACCACGTCTATGGGCACCGTGATGGTCTGGGCCACCAGGGACGCCGCCCCTCCTGCCACCACCGACTTCACCGTGTTACTGGGCGAGTACTGGGACACATACTTGCGCACCAGTTCATAGGTGGTGATATAAGCCTGTCCTGACACCAGGGTGAACGTATTGACCATGAAACCACGGTACAGGCCTTGCACACCCTCTAACCTCAGGATCTTGCAGAAAGCATCCAAGGTTCCAGAGTAGAGGGCCTTCCCCTTCTGCACCTGGAGCCGAGTGCGGATGAGGCTGGCTGGGTAGACGGTGGCCCTGGTGGTCAAGGTCATGAACACACCCAGGGAGTAGAACTTCCTCTTGTCCAGGTCCTCCCATTCGATAATCTGGATGGCACCTTTCTGCTGCATAGTGCCGGCTAGGGCAGCGCTGCCCCCCTAAAGCCACGTATCTGCAGTCATCAGTCCTCCTACCGCCATCACACCTGCAACCAAGAACATTCAGCCTTAGTAACGCTCTTTGATCGGATGTAAGAACCCGCTGGTGACTCCCAAATATTAATTTATTCATTCAGAATTTGGACTGTCTGATCCCAGCGCCGAATACAGGGCCCCTCACACAATAAACGGCGTGAATAGGACCTCAACTAATGATATGAATGATCCACCAACTATTTTCTTACTTAATTGATTATTTGTTTGTTCTAAACAATCTCATAATTTTGTGAAAAATACAAAAGTGGACATCTGAAAATTGCTTGTTTTGTTCGAGTACTAGTACAAAACCCAACAACAAGCTGGAACAAGTAAATTCTGGACAAATGTAAACTTAATTTTTAAAATCAATTGATCAATTATAAAACTTGATAATTACTTTTCTGTTACTCTAAATTATTTCAGCCCTGTGGTGAATCAAACAACTCACCTGACAATGCCCAGAGATGATTCTTGTCCCCATACTGTTGTTGTTGTTACATTATTCAATGACGTTTCTTTTTTATTGTTAATAAGCTTCAAAACTATTACATATAAATCTCACAACTAGCGCAGTATAACCTAGTTCTGTTTACATTATGCACTAGTTATACATTACACAAATACATAAAATAATATCAGAGCACACCAAAGTGGCACTGCTTGAATTCTCAGTTCATGACAGCATCCGATAAATCTCTGCAGCAATAATGCAACGACCCACTGCTGCGTTAGAACTGGGGGATTCTTGCTTTATTCACATTCAGACCATTGACAGTATATAGTTTAGGGTCGGTGTATATAAAAGGCTCATTCACAGATTCACAACAACATTTAAGGGGAAAGACTGATGGACCTGACAGACCTGTGACAGCTTTCTATCAGAAAACAAACAGCTGGAATGAGCATGTTACATGTGAGAATACATATGGAGCATCCTACATTACGTCTATGAAATAGGACAGAGGGGGGCAGTTTCTCTGCACAGACCAGCATGCTATTACAATGCACCCTACAGGACAACTTCTGTACAGCTGGTGTTCAGAGCAGTGCAGGCCAGAAGGACAGACAGCAACACAATAAACACGATTTGTTCTCACCTTTAACTACACATTAGCAATCAGACACCGTTTAATACTGAGATTCAACATGTTTAACATTGTCTAATACTGTCTAACATGTTAAATATGGTCCAACATGTTTAATATTGTCTGTTATTGTCTAATACTGTCCAAAATGTTTAACATTGTCTAATCTAACATGTTTAATATGGTCTAATAATGTCAGTGCAGGCCAGTAGGATAGACAGCAACACAATAAACACGATTTGTTCTTATCTCAAACTACACCTTATCAGTCGGACACCGTTTCATAACACTGAGATGTATCATTGTCTAATAGTGTCTAACATTGTTTAATATGTTTAATATAGTCTAATACTGTCTAATAGTTTCTAACAGTGTCTAACGTTGTCTAATGTTGTCTAAAACGTTTAATAATATCTAATCCAACATGTTTACTGTGGTCTGATCCGCGGACGGTGAAGCAAAGGGGAAGCACGTGTAATGTCAGAGTGTACTCGCCGTGCTGGCTAACAACATGTCGGATATTTCAGCTGCAGTTCACAGAAACACGAGAGAGAAAACACGAGAGAGAAACACACCGACGGTACCGCTACCTGTTAAAGGCTCATGTTCGCCCTCCGCCTCCACCGTCACTGTCGCGAAACTGAGCTGCTCGGTTAAACTCACACGGTCTGCTCTCATACAAGGTGGGTCATGTCTTCCGTCCATTACTGCTGAGAACAAACATAGTCAAAGGTTAAAGGTCACAGGCTGTGTTTCACCGCAGCGCGTTGTTATGTGTTAAAATAAAAAATATTTTTATAGCTCGACATTTTGGTCTCAAACCGACCGCTGTATCTCTTATATTTAATTAACGAGAGGTTTGTTTAGCTAGTTTGACAAAGATGATGCATTCATGGCCCGATGCAAACGTAGGAACTGGAAGTACTTCAACAACCAATGAACAAACAAAGCGTCAAATGTCTAAATATAGCCATGGTGCAGACCTGCTGAGGTCATTTACTGAAGTAGAATAGTGTTACTTATTTGAAGCATTGACAGTCACACTTGCTATTTTGTTTTTTGAGTCGGCTCACATCATACTCTAAAGACAAACGCCAGTTCTTTTGTTGAAGTAAGAATACAGCAATATAATAATACTCCATTACAAGTAAAAGTCCTGCATCAGCTAAATGTGAGTAAGAATCAAAGTGCTCATCATCATTATGCAGCAGAATGTTCCTGTTATACAGTATTATTTTGTTATTCATGCTGATGTAAACAGCATTTGAATGCTGGGCTCATATAAAACAGAAACCCAGACTAATACATTGAAGGATTAAGTAATGGAAACATGGTTTTTGCTTGCAATAATATGTTTATGTATTAATATAGAGATGTAATATAACTATAGACTATAGTATAGAATATAAAATAAAATATAATAAATAATAAAAGCAAGTCAATGTAACATTAACATAATACTACTACTGTACAATGTTCTGCACTTTAAGTTATATGTTACATTTCAGTTATATTTTATATTTTAAGTTTATATTTTAATTTTTATATTTTAACTTTATTGTATTGTTCTATTTGTGTGTTGTCTAAAGGGAGTTGGGCAAAGTAAGTTTTTCATTGTACGTATAAACCACTG